GGCCAGCTCCGTGGTTCCGAAAAATTAGGAAAATTACCAAAATGTGAGTTGCAGCTTTCCATACTTATTTCAATGTTCAAATATTAAAAATAAAAAAATAACTAAAAATTAAAACAAAAACCTTTAAAGTAAAAAAAATTAAAAAAAATTTCAAAAACCATTGAAACGCAAAAGTTTTCGACAAATTTTGATACGATTTAGTATTTAGACGAAAAAAAACTGCAACAAATGCAAAAACAAAATCGCGCGAAATTTACTACAAACGCATTAACTTTTTATTCATATGTTTGTACATATGTAGGTATATAAGTAAATATGTACCAATAAAACCACAAAAGATAAAAATAGTAATAGATAATAATAAAAAAGTAAAGCAAACATATATGTATATGTGTATGTATATATGTATAAAATCCAAAACACTTTAAGCTTGTACATATATACAAACATAAACATAGGTATTCAAACGCCAAAGGAGGTCTAGTATTTCTAAAGAAATAGGCAAAGAAAAACACAGAGTGATTTAAAGCGGTTTGCTGGCGGCAGCGTGTGTGTGGGTAGAGCAGTTGTTATAAAAACGGCTTTAACATTGCGTAAACTAAATAAAAATTTTAATTTTTTAACTTTTGTTTCAATTCCACTGCGTACCAACTGGGCAGACCCTAACTACAACAGTTTTTATGTCAGTTTCAGAATATTTCAAAAAAAATTTTATTTCAGCATTTCGTTTCAATTTCATTTTGTTCCGCCTCATTGCGATTTTGTTTCAAACATTTTTATATACCATACCAGCAACAAATGTTGCAATTTTCAATTTCAATTCGAAGCATAGCATTTCACTTTCATATTGTTCCGCAACATTTTTCAGTGAATTTTTTTATAAAGATTATTATGTTAGGCATGTTCGAATCCCGTGGCATTCCTTTCATATGTTTCAATTTCAATTCGTTCCAATTTTATTTTAGGCGCGATTTTTTATTTAAAATTGGTTTCCATAAACTAGTTATATAAATTTCAACATTTTTGTTTCATTTCCATTATGTTCCGCTAACAAAATCTGTATTGGAAACTATTTTTATACACAAATGCTGCACTGTCAACCACCACTGTCGCTATTAAACTAAATTTTTGTATAAATTTATTGGTTTATTTAACAATTTTGAAATTAACAGTGGCCACAACTCAACTGGAGAATAGCTCATCAAAATATTTGTGCTGTTAAATGGTAATTAATGAACATATATACATATGTAACAAAATAGTAAATTGTCTATAAAGTGTGTATATGAGAGTTCATGAATATATAGTGCATATATACATACATACCGCTGAGTACATAAACCTACTCATGCACATACATACATACATACAATTCCAGAAATACATATGAAAGAAATGCATTCGAAATAATTGTAGCCCACCAATGTATAAAGAAACTAAATAAATAAACAAAATTTAAACCGAGATTGTAAGCATAATTAAATAAGTGTATATGTAATTACAGTCAAACCAACCTAAAGAGAACAAATTGAAGCTAAACAAAAAAAAAATAAACCAATTTTTTTGTTATGAACAAATATGAAGCAGAAGCCACCACAGGCAGCCAGTGTTTTAATAAACGATAGATAACAGTTTAAAAAAATTATTGCATCTGTTCCCTGCATAAGAAACTAACAAAGAAGCGCTTACATGTTTTTTCAAAATTATTTTAAATATGTGTACCGTACAAATTTGTTTGTTACAAAAAAAGTTCACTGTGAAAACACTTTAATAAAAATATGCAGTCAAACTCTGAAATAAAGATAAATAAAATTACAAAAAAAAAAAAAAGAAATACATTTAACCAATACGTGTGCATGTGCTGTTATACAGTCTCAATGTAAATGATTACAACTAAAGCATTTGAAAGAAATCAGCAGACCAAAATTTCCCACATTTCTTCTACACAAACACACACAAGAACACAAATTAACACCTGTACAAATAACATTGTAAAAAAGCTACAAAGTAAATGCATGAGACACTGAAAATAAAATACGCTGAATATGAAAATTTGAAAATTTTTGTGTTTCATTTCCAGATCGTTCCACAAAATAGTTCATGCGTTTTTTCATTTTAGGCGCATCGCATTTAATTTCGAATGTTCCAATTTAATTTTCTTCCAATACTTTTCTTTTTAATTTGCTTTATTTCTATTCCATTTCCATGAAAGAGTATTTTATTTTTTATTCCCACTCCATTTACTTTTTTAGTATTCGAATTCCATTTACTAAAATATGTGAATATACAATTTTTAAAATTTCTGTGTTTCATTTCCACTTCGTTCCACAAAATATTTCTTATGTATTTTTATTTTAAGCGCATCAAATTATATTTTGCATGTTCTAATTTATTTTATGATTCAATTCCACTTTGTTTTAACACTTTTCATTTTTATTTCCTTTATTTCCATTCTAATTACATTAAAACAGTAGCCATTCCACTCCATTTTCTTCTATTTTTTATTTCCACTTCATTTACTTTTTAAGATTCCAGTTCCATTTTGTTCTCACACTCTCATTTATTTTCCATTAAATTTCCATTAGTAAAATACACCGAATATTAAGATTAAAAAAAAATTATGTTTCATTTCCACTTTGTTCCTCAAAGTATTTTTACGTCTTTTTATTTTAGGCGCATTAAATTCAATATTGATTTTTCCAATTCCATTTTGTTCATATCTTTTATTTCCGCTCTCCATTTCATGTTTCAATTCCAATTTGGTTCCAGTATTTTTCTTTTTTTCCCTCATCGTCTTAGTAAGTTGTAAGTTGAAACATGAATCTTAACGTAATGATCTTCTTTAACGACAAAGCGACAATTTGATCTAACTTAATGGAAGCGACAGTCGTAAGCTTGCCTATAGACCGACTTTATTTGAATCCAATGTCTCCGTGGAACGTATGCGTTCACCACAGAGAATGGATTTCGCCTTTTGAGAGCTGCTTCTTTGGGCCTTATGAACCTTCCAAAAAAGGCTCCATAACTGTGGATGGAATCAGCGCGCTTCGTTCTCGAAACTCTGCTCAATAGTTGCTTCAATGCTTGACAAATATCTTCTGTCAAGCGCCTCCTTCTAGCCCTTGTGACTTACACGCCACCAGCTAAACTCTCTACTTTCCAGCCGAGAAATTGTTTTGAGCTAGCAGCGCTTGTATGCTCAACAATTTTATTTTCGAAAATGTCATTTTCATTGTAAAATATTCTTAATAAATGCAAACGCGAGCAAACAATTTCGAGCAATTTTGTTTTGTACAAAAAAATTAAATTTAAATAAATGCTAACTCTTAAAGTTTGATTTTGAATCAAAATTAAATGTCCGTTAAAATTCAAATTCCAGACGCAAACCAAACACTTCAGCAGCAACAGAAAATTGTTAAACATTTTGCGCAACTCGCCAAACAGCACCAGCTCGCTTGAAAATTTTAAAATTTTTCTTTAAACCATTGGTAAACTCGTCGGGATTATGGAGGCATCAGCGGCAACGCGACAGGTCTGTATCACCTCGAGACCGCCACGTTCGTACAAAGTTATTTGTAACAAATGTAATGTGTTGCCGAAGTTCGCACACTTCGTTGACTTTTTGGATCACAGTCGCGCGGTGCACGGCCTCACAGTGCGACGTGTGAGTGCGACTCAAATTGCGTAGATTTTGTTAGCATTCGTCCACTTATGTATGTATTCGTCTCTCTATCACACAGAGCGCGCTCTCTATCGTAGCGGAAGACACGCTGGTTTCCGCACGCGGCAGTGTAAGTTGTACACTTAAACACATACTGCCGCAGATGTTACGGCTTGTCTCGTTGCAGGTCTCTCATTTCAGTGCGCATAGTTGTGCTAGTCCCACTCTCACTGGCTCATCGCTCTCCAACGTCTCTGACAGCCACTTCGATCTGAACACGCTAAAGCGCCAGTGTTTGCTGGATGTTATTGGACTGCTGAACCAGTGTTTCTGCATTTGGCATCGTCCGTCGCGCGAGTGCATGCCGCGGAGTGAGCGTCTACATGCCTACCGGTTGCTGCTGCTGAAGTTACGCGAACATATGCCCTTCGTGACGTTTCGCGATGCGCGCAGTATTGTACAACAGATAATACGTATCTACCTGCGGCATTTTCGGTTGAGCGAAACCGATGGCACTGCCCCGAAAGATCGTGTAGATGAAGACGCGAACGATTGGCGTCTGTCGCGTCAGTTACGCGCTATGAAATCGAAGGCGGTTTTGGATAAACTCTGCTTTTTGCGCGGTTGTAATGAGAAGGATGTGGAGGAGCTCGTGCCGGACAAGCTTTGCACTTTCTGCAATATCGGCTTTCAAAACACCGAAACACTGTGGACTCACATGGTGAGCGCGCATTTACCGGCACGTAAACTGCAACGGAACAGTTCTATAACGGCCGATACTTTGCACTCGGAATCCACAATGGATACAGTCTGTTCGAGTGGTAGACGTAGCCACTTATCGCGCTCCACCTTCGATACGGAAACGGAATCGCAAACCGTTTCCGAGCCGATTAACTTGAGACGCAGTCGTCGTCGCGGCATTTTTCGGAATAGACAACGCGTGCGTCCAAAAAACCAGGTGGTATCTCTGAAGCGGGTACGTATATAAAATCGAGGTTTTCTAAGCTAAGTTTAAAACTTTTGCTTCGTTTTAGCTACGCCAACGTCCACAGTCGGCAAGACATGCCAGAAGTGATGTAGACTCCGTTAGTGTAAAATCTAAAGTAAGTCCAGTTTCTTGTAAAAATGGAGAGCTTCATGATTATAACGGAGTTTTTGACGCCAGCAAGCTCGATATCCTTACTCCGCACCTGATATTTAAACAGAATGTTTAGAGTTTTAGCTTATAGTAACTTTTCTTTCTTAGATAAGCTTTAGATTATTTTCAGAAATTTGTCAAACGTTCCTTGTGATATTTCTAGACAGTGATTTGGCATTTTTCATGCTGCAGCTGAGAAAGCTTCATAAGTTCATATCTTGCTACTCTCGTCTTGAAGTCCCAGCTATTTCGATAGTCTGTAGTCAGCCTACTTTGAAAGTTTTGCAACGTTTTCCAATTTACCAATACATTTTGGGTCTCGCATATGCCTTCAGGGCTTTTCATCAAATAGAGACTCCTTTTTATATAAATTTTTCAAGCGACAAGGCCATTTATATGTAGTAGATGATGATGACTTGAACAAAGAGCCGAACTTTCTGAGACGGTAGAGATAATTGAACTTCTGACAGGCTTCTCCTTCATACTGGAGCTCAGAAGTTTGTTTAGCAAGTTCTATTGATGATCAAACAAACGGAAATTCGTCTTTCGAGCTCGCCTTCGATTTCTTCAGTCCTATCGGTATTACGAGATGTGTATTTAATGCAGGAACACAAGTCCGTATACGCCTTACTACCATTCCGTTAATTAACAGCCAGTCTGAGCGTTTTTTTAATCCAAACACTGTACAAGCAATCTCCTCTGGAAGCAACGTGTTATTTTTTTCATATTTCATTTTATATATTCACAGTCCTCCAGCTCACAACTTTCCGACTACTCCGATCAATTTCTCGAAGAGTTCATCGATCTCTACCGTGAACAGACATGCCTCTGGCAAACGAACTCGCCCGAATACCGCAATCGTAAGCTTAGGCAAGCAGCGTACGATGTACTACATCAGAAGTATTGTCAATCGCGTAATGTGCCAGCAGTCAGTCTCACCAAAATCAAATCGCTAATACGTAAATTACGTTACTACTATGATCGGCTACAACAACCAAACGCTAACCGTTTTCGCAATCAAATTTGGCGACGCATGTCATTCATTGATGGTGGTCGAACGCCACCGAAACGTAAGCGTAGCCACAGCACAGACACATATAAAACCGTCGTGTACGACTGCAGTGAGTGTCCGCGTAAGTTTAAGCGACCCGCAGCTTACGCCAAGCACATACTCAAAACGCATCCACCAACCGAGTGTCCGCCGTGTAATGAGAATTTCAATAGCGCCGATGAGCTCGTACATCATCTACTCTATATGCATCGCAAGGAAACCGATTGCCCGCTGTGCAAGGGAGGTCAAAATGAATGGCGCAGTGCGCCGCATCTCAATCAACACTTCTTCGAGCATCGTTGCCCCACTTGCGCGGAGATCTTTCGCGATGGCACGAACTATCGACGGCATCGCGCCAAGTGTCGAAATATAAATCGCTTCCGTTGTAAACATTGCACTTCCAAGTTTACCAGCACCTTGGATTTTCGACGTCACGCTAAGGTCTCACATCAGGAGGAGCGGCCGTTTCGTTGTGAGGATTGCGAAATTAGTTTTAAATACTTGGCGCCATTGGCCAAGCATCGACGGCTACACAAACGAATGCAATCCTATTATGCGTCGTGAGCATAACACGCGGCGATATCGGTGTGCCATATGAGCTGACCGTACCACAGCTCTAAGATAGTTTTAAATAGAAAATTTTAAGTTGAATTAAAATAACTATCATATCACAAAAATTTAAGCTGTAGTTCTGTAGAATAGCGGACTTCAGTGCAGTAAGTATACGCCTAAAGCGAAATGGGAAATCATGAGATCACTTAAACCGAACGGAACGCGCTAGCGGAGTAGACAACATTGTTTACTTTCTTAGCAGGAACTTTTTATTGGACTATTTCTAAGCACAACACACAAACATAACAGAATTTATGGCAAAACAAAGGACAGCATTTAGTTCCTCTTATTATTCCTCATCGTTCAGTTCTTTTGCATGATCTATATCTGCCTCAGCATCGTCAGCTAGTGCTTCCTTATTAACCAAGTCTGCTTGAATTGCATCAATCTCTTTTTTAGCTGCATCGGACTCTTCTCCACCTGCGACAATCTCTTCATT